CGTTGTCTCTCTCTCTCTCTCCTAGAAATAAATAAAACATTAAAAAAATTAAAAAAATAAATAAATAAAAGGAGAAACTAAATACAATAGGATTAACTAAACAGGCATTGCTAGTCTTTTCATTTTTTAATGTTTGTTTTGAGAGAGAGAGAAAGGGCAAGCATGAGCAGGGAAGGGACAGAGATAGAGAGGTTAAAAGAAAGAATCCTATGCAGGCTCCCTGCTGTCAGAGTAGAGCCCAATGAGAGGCTTGATCCCATGAATGATGAGATCAAGACCTGAGCTGAAATCAGGAGTCAGATGCTTAAGGCACTGAACCACCCACATGCCCCAGACATTGCTATTTTTATTAAAAAAACAATGGCATGTTTCTTTCTATCTCCTAATACAGGATATTTTTACTCTTTCAGTTTCCTTTTCTAATAATACTTCTTAAACTGCCTGCGGCCTTTAGGACATCCTTCTTTTCTTTTATGTAGTGGTAAAACTTAATACAGTCAAATATAAAATTCTTTTGAATTGCAACTGTGCTCAGTCCAATGTGATGGCATCAACTGAAACAGCTTCTCAACAAAAATATTTGAATATGGTATACCTAGGATTTTACTTACTAACAACAGCAGCAGGTTTTTAGACCTGTAGGAATTTATTTCCAGCTCTCCCAAAATATCCATCCATATTTATCTATAGGCTTCTTTTGGTAGACCATCTATTTGCCAATCAGGTCCTTTGCATCTATAAATTCATCGTAGAGGTTATCCATGTCTAAAATGTCTGTCATTTTTTTTTAAATGTTAATTTATTCATTTTTGAGAGAGAGAGCGAGCGAGCGAGCAGGGGAGGAGCAGAGAGAGAGAGGGTGGGGGAGAGTCCCAACCAGGCTCTGCACTATCATCGCAGAGCCCGATGTGGAGCTCCATCTCATGAACCGGTTCTTCTTCAGATACCACCAAGCAGTTGTGGAGAAACAGCATATAAATTTTTGTTGTATGGCAATCTTTTCTCCATTTCCGTCTTCAATGTATTTCCCAATTAGAGAAGGACATTCGTCTTTTCTCACACTTTGAAAATAGGATTTTATGGTAGGCTAACACTTTAACATCTTTTCTATGGCTGGCTGGTAACCATGACAACCATCTGGTAGGCACATATCTAAGGAGTCTATCTCTTTCCATTTCTACAAACTCAAAAGTCTCGTAAACTGTCTGTGGGAAACTGAAGTGTCCCCAAAAACTTTCATTATGAAAGCATCAATGTCACAAGAAAGAAAGTAAATCACATCCCTTTTTTAGCATTCTGTGTACAAGGTGTGCCGGACACTTAGCAGGTAAGAAGTTTTCATTTGATAGACTGAATGGAAGTGGCTGACATTTACACTTACTGTCTGCTGAATATGCAGATAAGTGGGCCACATCTAGATTGAATTTGGACAGGACTATCAACGACCTTTTGTTTAATGTTTCCTGGGGTTTCATTAGAATCTTCACAGAAACCAAGAAGACTATTTGAAACTCCATTTTTCAAACCAAAGAACCAAAGAGGTAGGGGGAACACTTTATTGCCATGATACAACACATCACTTGATAGACTGTATAAGGCATGATTATTAGATATACAGAATCAGCTCTATGATGGAAGGGATCAATACACTTGTGATCAAAACTTCCCCTTTTCTTCGTCCATGGGACATTTTAGTTGCAAGCTCTGAATCAGGAAATATAAGTTTACGGAGCTTCACAGAGTGACTAAAGGAGCGATAGGAGAACACGTTCATCGGTGCGGTCTGCCCAGGCTAATTCGGCAGCTTCAATCTTCCAGTGAGCGCTGGTATCCTTTGAGGAGATGAAGACACTTTCAATTGATTCAAAAGTACCGCTCGTCTCATCCCAGACTTGTGGTATTCAGTCTCCATACGTATTTTCACATCCCCTTCTCCACCGTACCCAACCCCAAATTCTTTTCCACATGTTGTGCAGTATGCTCTGTGTGGGTCATTTGCCTCCCTAATCGAGTTGTATGTGTCCTTCCACCTGTCACTGAAATAACACCGACGTTTAGGCTTCTTTCTTGGTATTGGCTGGGTCATGCTGGCATTGGTAGTGTACCCTCACATTTTCATCATCTCAACTCTTAGAAAACATGGTCACAATAGGCACAATGTTAGAAATTAAACTAGTACTATCTCCATCCAAAGTGCAAAGCAACCACTACTTGGGCTGTTAACACTCTTGATTAAAATTTAAGTTGCTCTGAGAGAATGACACAATAGATACATTATGGTCAACCACAAATCATGGCTGCCAGTGTCCGTGGTCAACAGAAGGCAGATAATCACCCTATTCATTTGTCACTAAAAATGATGTTGTCTTCCTTTTGGGGGGAAGGGGGCATAGTATGGGTGTTGTATCTCTTCCTGTCTCCTAATCTATGGCATTCATTGCTGAAAACCAGGGCTTGTTACATCCAGGAAGGGTTTCTTAGAACATGGGATTTTCAAGGACAGTCCCAATCTGGTATGGTTAGTCACTAAATATAAAGTTGATTACTCTCCCATTTTCATAAGTGTGAGCTTGTCTAGTATTTTCAGATCTGCTATTTTGACATTAGCAAATTCTATTTAGCTAGAGCTTCTAGAAGTGTAGTCTAAGGCAAATCAAATAAAAATGGTTATCCAGGTCTTTTAGGCAATAGTTTTTTGGAAAGTTTTGTTTGGATTAATCCGACTTATCTTGAACTTTGCATTATTTGGTACAGCTTTTCCTAAGTTTCTTTCTTTAGCTACAGAACCAGTTCCAAGACTGGCTGGCAAGTCAATGTTGGCTACTCCCAAAAATCCAGCTGCACTGGCTTTTCCTATTTCTAATAGCCCCATTGTACCGACAAAGGACAAAAACAAGCACTCATTTTACAATGTATGCCAAAAAGGCTAAGAATGACAAATTAAGCATGCACTTTATTATAAAAGCAATATAAAGATGCTTACGTATGTTTATAAAATATTTGACACTCATGTGAACCCAAGTAAATGTAAAAAAAAAGGGTGGAGACAGAAAACTAAGAGAAAGAGAAAGGAAAAGTTAATTAAAAATCTTCCATTGGGTCGCTAGGGTGGCTCAGTTGGTTAAGCTTCCAACTTCGGCTCAGGTCATGATCTCGCAGTTGGTGAGTTCCTGCCCCTTGTGAAGCTCTGCCCTGATAGCTCAGAGCCTGGAGCCTACTTCGGATTCTAACTCTCTCAAAAATAAATAAACATTAAAAAAAAAAAAAGCTTCTATTAAGAACTGCCTGCAGTAGAATCTGCCACTGGGAGCCATTTAACAGTCACAATTAATCTTTAATCCTGAAGGGTAAGAACAATGTCCTTTAAAAATAGGCTGTGGATTGTATTATACAGTTTTGCCTACAAATCAGTCAATACCCCCCCACTCCCCAAAACACAAAGCTACAGATGTTATGCATCAAAGGAAATCAAATTAAATGACACAACAACCTTGGTTCGTAGCTTATTCATACGCTGTAGCCCCACACATAAAAAAAAGTGAACCTTGCGCCCCTCTTGAGGACAAAGAACCCATGCAGCCTTTAACTGAAGCAAAACTCTGCGACCTCCTGCTGGATCTCTTCCTCCAACCACTGTGTTCTTCCGGGTACACCCTAGGGTACCTATTACACCCTAAGCCATAGTACTGTTGCCTCCCAGTGATCCGGTAGTAACACAACCTTCCCGCAGAACGCGACCTGCTGCAGGAACACCACCTCCCGTGGGCAGCTCTGACTCCGGGAGAACACCATGCTGGAGCCGATGGAGCAAGACCAAGAGCTTCTTGGAAGAAGAGCAGGCGAGCCAGGCCACAAGCGGTTCTTGTAATCAAGACTTCATTGCTTCCTGCTTTTGAAAAGGGTCACTTCCCTCAAACCGGGATTATCTCCTTAACAGCAGCTCTAATCTGGATGATTCCCCTCCCCCTACCCCCAACGGGATATTCGGCAGTCTTGAGACATTTTTGGCTGTCACAGCAGCAAGAATAACCCTGGCATCCTGTGGGCAGAGGTCAGGGAGGCAGATAAACACCCCACAGTACAGAGGACAAGCTCCCATATACAAAAGTTATCTGGCCCAAAATGTCAGCAGTGGCTAGGTTGAGAAACCCGGTTGAGAAAGCAAAAGTTGGGGGGGGGGGTGTCAAGCCCCAGAAGAGGGTCAGCACGGGATTAGGACTGCACAATACTCCCGGCCCTCACCTGGGTAGTCCCTGCCTCCTGAGACTGACCCTGCCTCTTCTGGAAGCAGAGCTACCGTGGGGGCAGGGCCAGGCACTAAGAAAATAAATAAGATTTAAAAACTTAGAGCTTGGGCATTCTTCGGTGGCTCACTCAGTTGAACCTCTGACTCTTGATTCCGGCTCAGGTCGTGATCCTTTGGTTGTGGGTTCAAGCCCCGCAACCAGCTCTGCGCTGAGCATGGCACCTGCTTGGGATTCTCTCTCCCTCTCTTTCTCTCTGCCCCTCCCCCCACTCTCTCTCCCTAAAATAAACAAAAATAAAGAAACAAAAACCCCCAACAACTTAAAGCTGGGGCGGGCGCTGCAAACCCAGTACCACTTTTTGCACCATGCAGACCTGGCGCTTTTTCCTGCCACCCAGGCCTGAGATAACTGCAGGGCCCACAGCAGCACTAGAAAATTCCCCACCTCACACGGGACAGATACAAGGGCCCAACAGACGCCTTCCTTCTCCAGAAGCTTAAGACAAAGAGCGACTTCTCACACTTCCCTCGGGAAGGTGTATTCAGGCTGGGCCCCCCCCATCTCCGAAACACCAACAGCGCCCCGAGCACCTGCCCACTTTGGCTCTAAAGACTTGTTGCGGCCGCCGGCCCTCCCTCCGCCCTTATCCTTCCCTCTCGGCACCGCCCGGGTCTCCGCCCCGCCCCCTCGGCACCGCCCTCTCGGTACCGCCCCCTCCGCCTCCTCCGCCCGGTCTCCGCATGCGCGACCGGGCCCCGGGGGCGGTGCTGCTTCATCCGGGTACCCGGCGGCGGGTGGCTGTTTTGTTTTGCTGGCTGTAAACTAGGGTAAAGTGAGGCGGCCCCGCGCGGCGTGACACCTGGCTTGGGATCCACTGCCCTGGCGGGGCTGGCCGTAAGTGCCCGGCGGGAGAGGGGCAGGGGGTCGCCGCCACGGGCCGGAGAGGGCTCGGGCCCGGGCCGTCTGCCCGCCGGTGCCGACCGAGTCGTTGCCTCCACCCTCTGGGAGGCTGCGGGTTCGGGTTGTGCCTCCCTGGACCCTTCTCGGACGCTCCCTCCGCCCGGCTGCCGGACAGCGCCCTTCCCCGGGACGTCGCAGGGTCCCTGCACATCTCTGTGGTCCCCTCCTTTAGGGTTGGAGAAACAGCCCCCGAGAGGGAGTGTCGCCGGCGGGTTCACGCGGCAGAGGGTGGCGGATCTAGAGCGAGTTCGCACATCCTCCCAGCCCGTGTCCACTGCAGACCTAGAATCCCGAATCTGGGGGCGGGGGTTGGGCGGCTGTGTGCCGGTAATAAACCTGAGAAAAATGGACTCGGATGGGCTCGGGGCGGGGACAGTGAGACGAACCGAAACTAACACTAGCTGAATTGCTCTTCCTCCCAGGGAAAAACAAAGGTGAATTCAAAACTGGGCTTTTCTTAAAAGCATATTAGTACTGGTTACGACCTCAGGTTTTAATATTTAATGCTTAAAAGGGATGTTACGATTGGATTCCTTACTTTTTTTTTTTTTTTTTAGAATATCATGTTTTTGGACAACCAGGATTGCTGGCTACAGAGTAGTTTAACCAATGGGTTTAACAAATGGGTTCAGAGTCGCTGTAGGAATTTGGGTGTGTCTTGGTAATTAGCAAGTTATACGTAATTCAGGCTTTCTCTTGTTCTGAAATAGATAATCCAGGTCTGGGTAGGTCAGCTCGCAGGAATGTTTTATGTAAATTGTTATTAGGTCGGGTATAATTCATCTGTGGTAATTTAACTGGATATTTTGTGTGTCTGAATTAATATTAGTTTCAATTTTGTGCTTGCTTTTGGGTGGAAAACATCCGTTAGAATCAGAGACAAAGATATTAAAATGAAATCGGTGTTCTTTACTAGAAGTGACACCAAAAACCAGGGTTGGAGAAGGAAAAATAATGAGGTGAAAGGAAGGGATTTGGGTAGAAGACCTGCAGTGTTTAATTTCTTATTCTGAGTATAAAGAAACCTATGATAAAATGTGAATCCTAAGACATAGTTTTTCATCTGACCACATGCTTTAACTCCACCAAAGTTTATCATTGTCTCTCCATTACGTTAGTGCTCCTGGATTGTAAATGTTAAAATCACACAATAACTTAGTTTGGAATTAAAATTAATAATCATTATAAAGTTTTTCAATATTTGGATACCCACCTGTGTTCCTCTTTCTTAAATATACCAAACCCATCTTTTAAATAATAAAAAAAAAAAGCTAAATGAATCCAAATTGTGTTTTCCAAAGTTTTAATGTGGAAATTCATCAAAAATTAAATATTCTGAAGAAGTACATGTAGCCAAAATAAAGTATTTCACTTTTGTTAAATTATTCCGGAACTGTTAGTTATTTTCTAGGAACAGATGTCATGTTTGAAGCAAGTAAATAGAAGTACTTTATGTAGTTGATTTTTCTGTTTGTTTTTTAAAGTGACCTGAAAAAATGTCTGGATTTCTAGAAGGCTTGAGATGCTCAGAATGCATTGATTGGGGGGAAAAGCGCAATACTATTGCTTCCATTGCTGCTGGTGTTCTAGTAAGTGTCATTGGTAATTTGGGCATTTTGGTGTGTTTGTTTTTATGTGTTTTGAGTTCTGTATGTGGTTTTTAAATGTGTCCTATTTATTTTATCTTTGACCACTGAACTTATTTTAATAAATGTTGATGTTATGTTTATGAGGGGGTTGAGTTCCTCCATTTTAAGAGTTGACTTTATGGTTCGATATTGATTAGTAGAATGATTGGTTTTCTTTAAATGCATGGTATATAAGACGGTAATGCTTTATACATTTATTCATTCTATGGATAATGCCTCCTTTTTGTCAGTACCTTAAGTAACCAGGAAGTGTTTAAGTAAGAAAAAGGTCCAAACCAGTGGAGAGAGATGATTGCACCTTTTCATAATCCAGAGTTCACTTTCTTCTCAATCTCATTAAAAAACAAAAGAAAAAAGCCAAACAGGAAACGCATTAAAGTGTATTGCCGAGAAGTAATTTATAGTGTAAAATTTTTATTTCCGTTGCAAATCCCTCAAGTCATCTGATATTTGTGTTTTATGCTCTTACGTGTCATGTGTTCTAAATAATGGATTTTAAATAAACAAACAAAAATCTAAGTTCAGGGGCGCCTGGCTGGCTCAATTGGTGGAGCATGTGACTCTCGATCTCAGGGTTGTAAGTTCAGACCCCATACTGGTTGTAAAGATTTCTTAAAAATAAAATTGTGAAAAAAGGAAGTCCAAGTTCAAATATCTCCTTTTTGCCTACTCTCTGACATTTATAACTTATTAAAAATAGTTATCCTATAGTTTTCCAAAGTAATGGTAAAATATAAAATACTGTAGAGGGCCACCTGGATGGGTCAGGTAGTAGAGTATGGGATTCTTGATCTCGGGGTTGTGAGTTCAAGCCCTGCATTGAGAAGAGAGGTTACTTAAAAATAAAAGCTTAAAAAGAAAAAAAAAATCTAGAAATTTTGCACTTACAGACATCCAAAAAGAAAAAAAAAAAAAAAAGCTTTACATTTTAGTCTATGAAGAAAATATTTTGAATAATACACTGAGGTTAGGATAAAAAAATAAAAATACAAGAGGTACTCTGGCTAGCCAGTAAAAATGTCATTAATAGAGTATGGAGCTGTCTGTAACCTGATAAAAATAATTTGATTAGCCTAAAGTAGTTATTTTTAAAGAACTGACAGAAGATGGCCATTCCCAGAGCTAGCTGGGTCATGATTGGGAATGGGGATAGGGTAGGGGGTTATTTTCAAAACCTTCTAAGCTACATATCAGAGTTTGGTGAATATCTTACTCTAAAGTTTGTGGTCAGGTCATATTTGTGTAGTTTTAATGTTTTTCCTTATGTATTGGCCCTTGATCATATCCAGAACCAAATTCAGTTCAGAAAAATGATAATTTGGTGTTTAAATTGAACATAGCATCACACGTAAAAGATCTATAGACCATGATGATATAATTCATCAAAAGGAAAAACAGAACTGCAGGGCCATTGCTTATTTCAGGACACTAACGAGGACAGCTGAAATTCTGTCAACGTTAACTCTTCCCCATATTGTTTTGAATAACTTGTTTTCATTTTCAATGATAACATCTTTCTGGAAGCTTATAACATATCAGCAACAAGCCACTCCTGTCGGTTAGAATGTGAATCACAGTTTTCCTTTCTCCTGCCATGAGATTATTACAACTTATTTCCAGTTCACACGATAAGATGACAGACTTCATTATAACAATATAAAATAATGAACAAAGTGGGCTTAGAAAAGAAGTTCGTGTTACATACTAATTGCTGGCTGACTTAAGGATATCTAATATCTACTCAGATATTAAGCCACGGGCACATTATATGCGAGAAGCTGCTGGAACATTTAAGAAAATTTTGAAATTCATTAGAAGGGGTTTCTCAGATGGCTTGCTTTCTTTTTAGCGAGTAAGATAGGAAATCGCTGTAATTTCTCATTAGTGTCACTTCTTTTTTTGTCTGCTTTAGTTTTTTACAGGCTGGTGGATTATCATAGACGCAGCTGTCATTTACCCGACCATGGAAGAGTTCAACCACTCCTACCACGCCTGTGGCGTCATAGCAACCATAGCCTTCCTCATGTAAGTGTCATTGTTCACGGCACGACTTGCATAGATCGCCGCAAAATAAAAATGCCTTATGTGTAGTTGAGTAGAGTTTATATTTTTAAATATCATCAACGTGTTGGACATGGATTAAAAGTCACCTTGCAGAGGAGGACTTATGAGGAAAAGCCACAGTTCTCCTTCCTATCCCCCCTTCCACCTCGCCTCTTTTCCCACCCCCAGCACCTCTCCGCTCCCCTCTTCTGTACTGCTGATGTTTGTGACTTCACTTTTAGGTCAGAAACCATGTCCTTTGTCTGAGCGTTTGTTTATTCACTTAGGCAACAAATCTTCATTAAGCTTTTGTTCCCAGGCTCTGCTCTAGGTAGAGGAGATATAGCAGTGAATTAAACAAGAGGAAGTCCATGCATTTATGGAATTTATACTCAAATGAGCGAAGCAGAGAGTAACCAAGGAGACATAAATTATATATGTCGCCTGCTAGGTATCAGGAAGTGTTCCAGAGAAGGGAGATAGGAGATGCCAGCAAGGGTACAGAAATTTTCAGTAGAGTCAAGGAAGGCCTCACAAAGAAGGCACTTTCGAAGTGAAGACTTGAAGAAATGAAGGAGCTGATGATGGGGATATATAAGAGGATCGTTCCAGTCCTGTGGAACAGCAAGGACAGAGGCGCCATGGCAAGGAGACCAGGATGGGTGGAGTAAAGGGTCAAGGTCATAAAAGCCAGAGAAGATTGAGGAGGCTAACGAGGCATGAGAACAAAATGTATGCTGTGATTCTACTCTTTTGCTGTCAAGAGCATGATTGGGCCAACTGGGGAACTCGGGGGAGGTCTGAAGATCAGATGGCGGTAATGCATCATTGTTAGTGTCCCAGTTTCGGGCTTGTATTGTTCTGTGAAACTGTCTTGTTTGTAGGAAACACATACGCATTTCTAAGGTTATGGAGCATTAGGGGCAACTTTCAAAATTTACTTGAACTGTACTTGACAACTTTTCTGTAAGTTTGAGATTACATGTGAAACTTGCAATGCCAGAGAGCAAATGGAGATTGTTCATTTCAGAACGTGCCTGATGGTGGAGACTGACAAGGCAGGGGCGTGGCTGTTTGAGAGAGGGCGAGAAAGCTCACTCAGATGGTCCAGCAAGGAATATACAAGAGCGAAGATCCACTAACCCAAGAGCATCTACAGTTTTTAGTAAAATCTAAAATTTTAGTAAAAGATACATATTTTTGGCAAAAATATTAAGCTTGTTTGGGGTGCCTGGCTGGCTCAATAGGTTAAGCACGCAGCTTCGGGTCAGGTCATGATCTCATGGTTGGTAGGTTCGAGCCCTGTGTTGGGCTCTGTGCTGACAGCTCAGAGCCAGGAGCCTGCTTCAGATTCTCCCTCTCTCCCTCTCCGTCCCTTCCCTGCTTGTGAGCTCACTCGCGCACGCGCTTCCTCTCTCTCTCTGTCTCAAAATTGAATAAGACATTTTAAAATTTGTAATTAAAAAAACACTAAGCTTGTTTTAAAATGTATTTATTTTGTATACTGGATAATGTGATTGATAATAGAAGTCATTGAATGTAATTAGGAGTATTTTGATCATTCTAAAACTTAGATTGGAATGAATAAATTATGAATTCATTTTATTATTTAAAAAGTTAGGGTTCACATAGTCAACACATTTATGGGGCATGTGCTGTGTGCCAAGCCTTGTGCTAGGCACTGAGAATAAAAAATAGGAAACAAGATAGACACAGTCCTTGCCCTCATGAAGCCTACACTTTAGTAGTACACACATATGCGCACACACACGAGTGGAGAGGTATATAGGTATACATACAGATAATCGTAGAAAATTTTATATACTTCTTAACTTGAAATATTGTTAACCTTGTCCTGTGATGTTGAAATTTTTGAACAATTACTTCTAAAGAAAGCACGGTTGTCTCGATTTAGAGTAGTTCTCTGTGAAAGTTAACAAAAGATTGCCTGTTGGAACATGTATCAGGTTAAAAAAAAAAAAAAACCCAACATTTTACCACTTAAATCGCTTTGATGGCTTAAAGTATAATTATTTCTCCAAACATTGGACATTAGTACAGAATTAACACCAAAAAACTCATTCCAACGCCAATTTTAAGTACTTCGGGGTGGTCTAGAGACCCTGCTCTCTCTGTGTTGTCACGTGTGCGTGTTACAGGTTGTGTGTGTCTGACGCGCACACATGGAAAGCTAGACAGGACCAAGCTAAAGATGGCTCCATCCTACCAGGACATAATTTTGAGGATTCCGCTCTCAGACTTTAACAAGTGAGACATAATTTTGAGAATTTCGCTCTCAAATGTTAGTAGGCGTCGGAATCACTGGAAGGACTTGTTAAAACTCAAATTGCCGAGCCCCTTGCCCAGAGTTTCTGCCTCATTAAGTGTCGGGTGGGGCCGGGGAGTTGTCTCTCTAATCTGTGCCCAGGTGATGTTCATTCTGCTGGTCTGGCAGCTGTCACCACTGTTAAAACCGTATCTGCGTCATGGGACTTGCTGAAGTTTACGTGAGCCCATTACTCAAGACTCACGAGGCCTAACCTGAAATTTGAGGCACACTAGCTTATTGGATCTGATGATTTGATGTCATGAGTAGTTTCCTCTTGGAGTCAAAGACCGTGATATCTTGGCTTTATTTTATTCACACAGGATTAATGCAGTGTCAAATGGACAAGTCCGAGGTGATAGTTACAGTGAAGGTTGCCTGGGTCAAACAGGTAAATAGGTGTAAATGACATCTTACTGTACACATCCACAAAGTGAGAATTCTACACGGAAGGGCCACTCGTCTAACCCCTTCAGATCAGAGAATAAGATAGGGGTCTATCTAGAGCAGAGGTTATAGGTTTCAAGGCATAAGGGACAAATCATACTTAATCGAAGGCGGCTGTATGGAATAAAGTACACAAGAGCCTTGAGTATACAACCCTGTACAATAATATGTACGGTGGACAGTAAAAGGCAATAATATAATGAAGAATACATGTGCAAAATAGAACTTCTAGTACTTTAAGCTATACCATATAAATTATTTTTTTCTCTTTTTTGCCAACCTTATTTGATTGGACTGGCATTTTGAAATAGTTTAGAATCATAGTATTTGGGGTGTGTTTTGATATATACAACATAAAATGTACCATCTCAACCATTTTTAAGTGTACAGTTCAGTCGTGTTAAATTCACTCACATCCTTTTGTCACCAACCTCCAGAACTCTTTTCATCTTGTAAAATTGAGTAGAATAATAGAATTTTGGTGCTTCAGTTCAGTTACTCCCTTCCCTCTCCACTGAAACTCCCGTCCCCTGGACTCCTGGGCCACACACCCGAGGGGGGCCAAATTCAGCTTCCTCGAGCATCCAATATACGCAAAGACTTGAGGGGACATTTATGAAGCAATTTAAATGGTAAACCAAATATTATATCCAAGCAAAAAGTAAACCTGCAAATAAATAGGCAAAATTCAGGTGACCTTTTTTTTTTTTTTTTTTTTAATGAAACAGGAGAAGCTGCAGGAGTCATCTCTGATCTACACATTCAGACTCTCTGGTTCATTCTCTCTGTAGATGAACTTAAATAGAGATAACAGGAGCCCTGACCTGCCCCAGTCGTGAACCGTAAATGAACAGACAGATGTTAGCGGCCAGCACTGATACTAAAAAGCCAGTGATAGCAGTGCCAGGACTAGAGTATGGCCCTCACATCTGTAACTAACATCTGTTAGACCCACAGCTCTGGGGCTCCAGAGTCTGTTGTATTTAATACCAGGTCTCTAACTATCAGCTTATTATTTTCATAACGCTCTTATGTTTTGGCAGCGAAATCAGAAATTAAATATAGCATTCTGTTTGCTTTGCTTTATTGAACAGGGCAGTGTTTTTATTCAAATGTATTTGTGCTAATTAGAGAAAGTCATCTCAGTTCATCTAAGGACTGTTTATAGCAGATCTTCATAAATATTACATAAACATGATTTAAAACTTGTTTGTCCTCCTCTGTTAACATAATTTTAATGGAGCTTTCCTAAGTGCCCATCACAATAAGTGAATTTATTTTGCCCCCTGTCTTACCTATTCACCTATCACTGAATATGAATTTTTTTGTTAAGTCTACCCGTGTTATTGCCTCAGAGTTCTCTTGGAGGAGTCTACATGTTGGAGTACGATTTCTAAAAATATATGGAGAATGAGCCTGTACATATGAAACATATTTTGTGAGATTTTTATAGGACGGTTGAGTTTTTCTCAGTATTCATATTTAAGGAGATTAATTACAGGCACTTAGAATACAGACCAGCCAACAAGAAAAAGGCCAATGTCTGCACTGATGCAAGATACTCAGCACATCTTCCATTCTTATTTTTAGACTTTAAATGGCAATTATATATTCTTTTCTGTTTTGTTTTTTGCTTTCCTTTTGAAAAGTTCATTGAATTGACTGCTGCCATATGAGAAACAATTCTGGTAAAATGTGATTTCTTTTAAGGTGCTCGCATCTGGCTATTCATTGGCTTCATGCTGGCCTTTGGCTCTCTGATTGCCTCTATGTGGATTCTCTTTGGAGGTTATGTTGCTAAAGGTAAGAGGAAATAGTTTACATTTTACTTCCATGGATTACTGACATGGTGCATTAAAGTTGGCTATTTTAAGTTTATTTATTTTGAGAAAGTGAGTGCACACAGGGGAGGGGCAGAGAGTGAGGGAGAGGGAGAGAATCCCGAGCAGGCTCTGTGTTGTCAGCTTGGAGCCTGACGCAGGGCTCAATCTCACAGACCGTGAGATGTGAGATCATGACCCGAGCTGAAACCAAGAGTTGGATGCTTAACTGACTGAGTCACCCAGGCGCCTAAAGTTGATTATTTTGTATTTATTTTTATTTATTTTCTATATAAGTTTGTTTATTCGGAGAGAGAGAGAGACACAGAATGAGCTGGGGAGGGGCGGAGAGAGAGGGAGACAGAGGATCCAAAGTGGGCTGTGTCCTGACAACAGAGAGCCCAACGTGGGGCTCAGACTTACAAACCAGAAGAAAGCTTTCTTCATCTAGATGGGCTAGCTACTAGCATTTATGCCTGGGAACTGCCTTCACCCTATCAGTGTTTTCTTTTGTTCTGTTTGATTGGTATGTTTTTGGTATTCCTTTCTTCTAGTTTTTTTTTTTTTTCTTCTTCTAATAGAGCCTAGAATCAATGGGACATAGCTCCAAACCTTGCTTCTGTTTGGCTTCCAAAAACCTCAAAAGCAGAGTATATATGTTCCCAAGCTATTTGGCAAGTTTCGACTTGACGAATGCTATCTCTGCAGAGCTCTAACATCCTAGAATTAAAATTTATTGAGCTAAGCCTCCCTGGTACTATGACATCATCTCCTTTTAGATAAAAAGTAAACGAGCACTTAACTGTGCATCTGTTGCACAAGGCCGCCTGAAAATGAGGCCTACAGGAAAAGGCCTGCTCTTAGATGCCTGGTTGAAATTTCACCTTAAGAGGGGCGCCTGCGTGGCTCAGTCGGTTAAGTGTCCTAACTTTGGCTCAGGTCATGATCTCACAGTTCGTGGGTTCGAGCCCCGCGTCGGGCTCTCCTGACAGCTAGCTCAGAGCCTGTTTCGGATTCTGTGTCTCCCTGTCTCTGACCCTCCCCTGCTCACACTGTCTCTCTCTCTCTCTTAGAAATAAATAAAACATTGAAATAAATAAATAAATAGAAAGAAATTTTACTTTGAGGGACCCCAGAAAAATCCAAAAATCCCTTAATGTTCCAGGTAAAATTAACTATGCTTCTCACAGTAAAATTATGGTGTTAATGATTGGCAAAAAGTGGACCAGCAGAGATCTAACCTAGCCCATATTTTAACCCTTTATTTCTTTGAACAAAATGTAATTCTTGGATTAAAATCATGGGTTTCCTGAATTTTTAGTAAGTTCTTTTAAGTCTTATAGACAGGAACGATAGGCATTTTTAAATAGTATGTTTTTTGTCATTCATATAATTTATTACTCAAACCATGTTACCAAAAATGTAGTAAAGAAAAAAAACATAGCAGACTATACTAACATACTGTTCTTAAATGTTTTGGTATATTTCCTTTGGTCTCTTCTTTTGGGTTTCTGTGTAGTTACGATCATACTATAAATATAGTTTTGAACCCAGGCCTTTGCATTTTACATGACCTCCCAAGTAGCTCTCTTGCTGTTACAGAACCTTTTATCACCATATTTTAAAAACAAACCTGTTACTTTTTTATCATGTGAATTCCATAATACTTGTTCATTGTAGAATACTGAAAACATAAAAGAGCTCAAAGAAGAAAATAAAATTATTTGGAATTCTTCTTTCCCGGATACAACTGTTATTAATACAGTTAACTATTAATTATTAATGTAGTTTTCCTACATTTTTGTAGAAATGTATTTATCTCATGGAATTTTTGGTGATTTTTTTTTTTCCTAAAAGCTTCTGGAGCCCACTTATGCTTTGAAAATTATTAGCAGGAGATCTGTAGCTTTATAAGTTGCCTTTCTAGGGGATCTTTAGGAGCCATTGTCACCACTCATATGGAATATATAATGTGACTTTGTAGTAGCGAAGGCCTATGCAACCGTTAATGATAATCAGATTAAGTTAAACTGTTCTGAGAAAAAGTTGATAATTCATCTGTTCATCACGCCTTGGTTTGTCAGTTAATGAATAACCATTGATGGCTCCAGGTGTAGAAACTTAGGAGGATTTCAACTTCAGTCTGGGATAAATTGGAACAAATGTTCCCCTGGCGGCCTTGCCTATCCTCACTAATGGCCACTCTGTCCCTCCAAATGTTGAGGCCAAAAACTTAAGTGCTTAAGGCCTGTCAAAGATGATACCTCCTGTTGTCTCTCACCCCACATTCAGTCCATCAGCAAATCCTATTGATTCTGCTGTTAAAATAGATCCTGAATCCCATCACTTTATAGGTTTTATTTTTAAGTACTCTCTACACCCAGTGTAGGGCTTGAACTCACAACCCCGATATGAAGAGTCGCACGCTCTACCGACTGAGCCGGCCAGGCGCCCCCTGAATCCCACCACTTTTTACCATCTCCATTACTGCCACCCTGGTTGAACTCATTATAGTCTCTCGTCTGATTTCCTGAATAGCTTCCTTGTTGGTCTCTGTTTCTCCCTTACCCCCTCTACTCCCCCCACCCCCTCAGCAGCCAGAGGAATCCTCTTTTTTTTTTTTTAAATTTTTTTAATGTTTTATTTATTTCTAGGGGAGAGATAGAGAGAGACAGCGTGAGCGGGAGAGGGTCAGAGAGAGAAGGAGTCACAGACTCTGAAACAGGCTCCAGGCTCTGAGCTGGCAGTCAGCACAGAGCCCGACGTGGGGCTCAAATCCACGAACCGCGAGATCATGACCTAAGCGAAAGTCGGATGCTTAACCGACTAAGCCACCCAGGCGCCCCAGAGGAATCCTCTTAAAATATGTTAGCTCAGACCGCTTTTCTGCTCAGACCCTCCAGTGGCTTCTCATCTCCCTTAGAGTGAAAACCAGAGCCCTCACCATGACTGCAGAGCTCTATAGGATCTGCACACACGCATGCACACACACGCCCAGTTTGCTCCTCATACTTCTCTGATCTGTCTCCTGCTTTCCTCTGTGTTGCGCATGTGGCCATTCCTCTGATGTGCCAGCACGTGCCCACCTCCCGGTGATTGTGCCCTCTGATCTGCTGCTTGCGTGTGGGCCCTCCCCTCACATTCTCCCTGACCTTATGCCACTGTCACCTTCTCATGAGGTCTTCCTGGCCACCTGTATAAAATACCATCATTGAAGGGGCAGGGGCGCTTGGGTGGCTCAGTCGGTTAAGTGTCCAACTCTTGATTTTGACTTTAGTCATGATCTCACAGTTTGTGGGATCAGGCCCCACATTGGGCTCTGTGGGGACAGCAGGGAGCCTCCTTGGGATTCTCTCTCCCTCTCATTCTGCCCCTCCCCTGCTCACATGCTCTCTCCCTCTCAAAATAAAAAATAAAACATTTTTTTTAAACGTCCTCATTCACTATGCTTCCCTTACCTTTTCCTGCTTCATTTGTTTCTCCTTACTTATTTATACTCTATGTCGTTTAGCTTCATGAAGATGAAGATATTTTGCCTGTTTTACTTACTGCCCTATTCTCAGCACATTACAGTGCTGAACGTAATATGCACTTCTAAATATTTGTTAAATGAAGGATGGAACTATCACTTCCTAACCCAGTGCTAGACTCCGTCACGTGTGTTATGTCATTTAATAAACACTCCACCCATGCTTACTGGAAAACTCAGTTACATAAGGCAGGAAAACTGCTGTTTGCCAGTATATCAGAAACTAAATGTTTATGACTATTTTTACAGAAAAAGCCATCGTATACCCTGGAATTGCTGTATTTTTCCAAAATGCCTTCATCTTTTTTGGGTAAGTTTCTTTTACATTCTTCAGCCTATTTTTTAATTCTTGTATTATAATTGTTTCTCTTAAGTCACTTACTATATTTAGTTGCTTAAATTTACCCGGTCCAGTGCCCCTCCCCCATCTTATGTCATAAAATGTAAAGAATGAGGCTGAGAAAGCTATTTTGATACATGGGTTGGTTTGTTGCCATCCTTGGGAACTTACACTGAGTTTTTTAAACTGTCCCCATGTCCCCTTAATGAACAACTATGATTTGTGTAGATTTAGTTACTAACACTGACAGTGTTTATTTTGTTTTATTTTTTTATTTGCCGACATTTTTTTTCTTTAAAAAGAATATTTACATTCTTTTGTTTTTCCAATCAAAATATGTATATTTTTTCAGGAATAGAATTTAGTGATTCGTCACTTACATAGAACACCCAGTGCTCATCCCAACAAGTGCCCTCCTTAATGCCCATCACCCATTTGGCCCATTCTCCCCACCCATTACCCCTCCAGCAACCCTCAGTTCTCTGTATTTAAGAGTTTCTTATGGTTTGTTTCCCACTCTGTTTTTTACTATTTTTGCTTCCCTTCCCTTACGCTCATCTGTTTTGTATCTTAAAGTCCTCATATAAGTGAAATCATATATTTGTCTTTCTCTGACTAATTTCGCTTAGCATAATACCCTCTAGCTCCATCCGCATAGTTGCAAATGGCAAGATTTCATTCTTTCTGATTGCTGAGTAATACTCCATTGTATTACATTCCACATGTTCTTTATCCATTCATCAGGACGTTCATTTTAAATCTGGATCTCTAACAGTTGCTTTCAGTGAAAGTCTGCTTAAACCCTTTTCTCCTTAAAATTTTGTTTCTGAGTGCATTTTATAGTTCTTTCTCACCGTGGTGTTACCAGAACCTGTGCGTGAGATTTGAGGTGTGGGGGAGAAGTCCTACCACGCTCTATCCTTCTGATACAAGGACAAAAGATTACAAAATCCCCTAAAAACCTTAATACTTTTGTCGACGATCTTCTCTAATATTCATTCTTTCCTGGATACTAAAGGCCTACCCTTTACCCTGCATTAGCCTCCCACCCTGACCGTCCCTCCCACCCCCCTACTTTCACAGCCCCCTACCCCGCCCCCACAGCTTCTCTTTTTCTCTTTATCCTCTGCGTCAGGGATTCTTTTTTTTTTTTCCTCTTAGTTTATTGTCAAGTTGGTTTCCAACACCCAATGCTCATCCAGTGCTCATCCCCACAAGTGCCCTCCCCCGTGCCCATCACCCCCTTCCCTTCTCCCCCACCCCCATCAGCCCTCAGTTTGTTCTCGGCATTCAAGAGTCTCTTGTGGTTTGCCTCCCTCCCTCTCCCCCACTATTTTTCCCCTCCTTCTCCCTCATGGTTCTCTCTTAGCTTTTTCCTCATCCACCTGTACGTGCAAACATACGGTATCTGCCCTTCTCTGCCTGACATTTCGCTCAGCATAACACCCTCAGGTTCCATCCATGTTGCTACACAAGGCCAGATTTCATTCTTTCTCATTGCCATGTCATGTTCCATCGTAGAGATAAACCACATCTTCTTGATCCATTCGTCAGTTGATGGACACTTAGAGTTTTCATGATTTGGCTATTGTTGAGAGTGCTGCTATGAACATTGGGGTACATGTGCCCCTATGCATCATCACTTCCATATCCCTTGGGTAAATTCCTAGCAGTGCTGTTGCTGGGTCATAGGGGAGTTCTAGTGTTAATTTTTTGAGGATCCTCCACACTGTTTTCTAGAAGGGCTGCACCAGTTTACATTCCCACCAACAGTGTAGGAGGGTGCCCATTTCTCCACATCCTCGCCAGCATCTAGAGGCTCCTGATTTGTTCATTTTAGCCACTCTGACCGGCGTGAGGTGGTGTCTCTGTGTGGTTTTGATTTTATTTCCCTGCATCAGGGATTTGTAATGGTCATTCCATAAGTGGGGTTCTGAAGACCAGGAACCACCAGACATTTCTGTATGTAAGACCCCTGTGTTTCAGCCTGTTTCTGGAAAGAGAGCCTATGGCTTTTATCAGATAACGCAGAGAAGTCCCTAATCCAAAAAAGGTTCAAAAACTGCTCTGTACTGTAGGACAATCTATTGTCAGACTTTCCTTCTCTGCCCCTTTCTTCCCACCCCCAAAAAAGGAAATCAAAGCCCCATATCTACTTGAGCCACTCGTGAAGTGCTACTTGTTGCCATTCAGTAACATTCCGCAGTGACATTCAAACTTCTTCCTTCACCAGGAGTTCTTGCAATTTTATAAAATCAGTTTGGAAATAAGAAAAATGTGAATGTAGGGGCGCCTGGGCGGCCCAGTCAGTTAAGACTCTGACTTGGGCTCAGGTTGTGATCTTGCGGTCTGTGATTTGAGCCCCTCCCTGCTGTCAGCATGGAGCCTGCTTCAGATCCTCTGTCCCCCTCTTTCTGCCCCTCCCCCACTGGTTCTCCCTCACACCCTCCCACTTCCCTCTCTCTCAAACTAAATAAACTTGAAAAAAAAAGAAACGTGAACTTAGGTATGGCAAGACAGACAACGTCTTTGGGTCATTCCTTGTATCGTAAAACTAGTGGAGAAAACCCAAATAATTTATTCAACAACAACAGCAACAACAGAAAGTGAAGCCACTGATTTTGTGCAGAAAATCATCATGACCAAAGTTCATTGAGCAAGTATTATGCCTGAGGCACCTTCCTTAGCGTTTTGCCCGCATGCTCTCGGCTGATCCCCGTCACAGCTCTGGAGGAGGCCCCGTCATCATCCCCGTTTTCTATGTGAGAATGAGCCCAGAGAAGTCCGGCTCCTCGTCTGAGAGCGCCTGGCTAGAACTGAGGCCGGCTTGAGTCCGGGCTCCAGCTACGAGGATGGCGACCTTTGAAATCCGGGGTGAATTCAGTCAGCGTTTCCTCCTCTTGCTGCTGTCCACAGCCGGGTGTCAAGTGTGCGTTCCGTTTCCCTGCTGCCCCGTCCTTGTGGACTGTAACACTCTACTTCAGCGACGCAGCACGAGTAAGCGTCCCTCCTGAGCTTACGAAATGAAATGTGAGTGCATTTGTTGTTCTGTAGCGCAGGGTAGCGTGCCGACGAGAAGCACGGCCTGGATGCTTAGGATTTCCTTCCCTTTCGAGCTGCGGTGCCGAGGCTCAGGCACCTGTAAGGAAGCACCAGGCACCCTCTGCTCACTACTCCACAGGGGTGGAGGTGCTTGGGGGCTCGGTGCCCTGCAACTCCAGCCAAAGGAAGGGAGCGTGAAGGTGTGGAAGAAAAGCTCGCTAGGGAGGGATTTACTGAGAACCAGCCCGGTGGGGGGGGAGGTGGCCTGGGGGGCAAACAGCGGTCTACTTTATCATTCTTTACTCTGGCAGTTTTGATAAAGGATAGAACAGGTTCCACCTTGAGATTCCACTTGTGGCAGAGAAGTCACTCTGTCACAGCAAGGAGGAACAGTGGAGGGAAGGGGAGGATTTTCAGGACCTGTGAATCTCTTCCACTGAGGGAGGAGACACGCAAGTTCATATAGCAGTTTTTGTGTGTCACAAAACCTTGGAAACCAGTTATTGACCTGTCTCTATTTTTAAAAATTTTTTTAATGTTTTATTTATTTCTGAGAGAGAGAGAGACAGCATGAGCAGAGAAGGGTCAGAGAGAGAGGGAGACACAGAACCCGAAGCAGGCTCCAGGCTCTGAGCTGTCAGCACAGAGCCAGACGCGGGGCTCGAACCCACGAACCGTGAGATCATGACCTGAGCCGAAGCCGACGCTCAGCCGACTGGGCCACCCAGGCGCCCCATCTTGTCTCTAATTATGATAAAGTCCTATTATATGCGACAAGTCTGGTCAGTTTCTCATTTGGTGCTGTTGTCCCTGTTAAGTCTAAAAATGAATTAGGGTTTTTGAAAATACTATAAGCAAAGTGAAGTCAAACCCAGCAAATAGGCACTGTTACTAGGATTGTTGCAGCAGATTGCCTACCGTTCTGATTCGTGACAGGACAGTACTCAGCAGCAGCTGAGAAATGACAGTTTCAGAAACCAGACACAGATGTCCGTACAAAGGTGACCATCTGACAGTGTAGGAGGGACTGGCTTTCGCCCAAGAAACTCTTCAGATTACAATTTACATCTGTTGAGTAGTATCTGAAGTGTGTCTCATTCACGCTCTCTGGAGGGTAGAGGCCTCGCGTTAACCAGAAGATCAGAGACCAGATCACGTTTTGGAGCATTTAGGAAATCCTCTGTAAAGAGGAATCAACAGACTCGCAAGAGAGCGTATAGTCCATTTCCTGGCTGCATTTTTGTTTTCATCAGAAAACATTCAAGTGTTTACTTTTCTAAGGGCAAATTGATCACGAGAATTGCAGGCCTAACCTTCAGCAAACACTGGTAGCTGGGAAACAGATGGGAAAACAGAACGAAAACCGCCATACGCCACTGCTCTCTCCCTCTGTCTTCACTTTTGCCCTCACCTCACGCTTGCCCCCCGCATCCGCGGCCAATCGAACCTGCCCCTGAATTGTCTCAGATTTGTTCCTTTTTGTCCATTTCTCCTGTTCGGTCACCACCATCCCGTCCTGAGCAGTTCACCTCCCTGATTGGTTCCTTCCTCGAATCCAGTTTTTCGTGTGTCACTTTTCCTTCTAGAAACATGGCTCTCATCCTGTCATTTCCCATCCTAAAATTTTTCACAACTTGGAGTGGTCTCCAGAAGGACTCCACACTAGTGGCCATCCAGCCAAATTCTGTCCGCAGTTCTGGCTTGTTTATCCCATACAGTACTTTCTGTCTTACTGAGCCAACGTTTAAAAATCAAGAGGTTTTTACATTAAAATCTGAATTTTTGGCTTTTCTTCAAAAACTGGAAGATCTGACGATCCTGAGCCTTGCATAGCAACGGTCAGCTGGAGGCGAATAGTTGTTCCTTCCACGTAGGGACACAGTTCCGCGTGACCCCATGTCATAAGCTGGCTGAGAGGGAACGTCAGTTGCCCCTGGAGTAGAGCGCACAGGCTGAACCTGCCCCCTTGACTCACTTAAGACACGTAAAGCCCCTGTGGGCAGTGTGCCGCCCTGGTCACTGGGCTCACCAAGTCCCGACCACCTCCACTCCCTGTCTTTCTGATCTCTTAAGCTGTAACCTGGCCATACTGGACTCTTCCCTGTTCTGCATCTCAGATACCTTTACGTGTATCTATAGACCTGGACCTAGGCAGGCGTCCTCTCGTGTGTCATTTCCCTCCGGCCCCTGTTAAGTTGAAACCCTGAGGACAGCTGTAGATCGTTCCCCACCTAAACCCTGCGTTGCGTGTTCTGTGTGGGCCTGTTCCTGGTTCCTCCTCCTGGGCTTTTCCCGAGGCGCCATGCTCTTGTATTCCTCTCTGCCTCTTGATCTGCTGTTTCTTCTCCTGAGACCTCTTCCTTCATCAAACTAGCCCCTTTCCCTACCGTTCTCCATTCAGACTCCTGCTTACCCTTCAAAGCCCATCACAAATACCCCTGCCTCTGTAACTCCTTTTCTGACACATCCAGGCCGAATAAGTTCCATAGGTCTCCGTGCTCCCTCAACACTTGGTACATATACCTCGTCCCCTTCCTCGCCTGCTCTCCCATCACCATGTTGTGTCACCGAGAACGTGAACAGCATGAGGGCAGGGATACTGTATCTCTCATCTTTATGGCCCCAGCATCCAACACGTCTGCACTCAAGAAAGTTCTGTTGAATGAAAATGACAAAATAAGACATAGAATAGTTATATACTAACCATTGGTTAACTTTGTAAGAGTGACCTACATCTCCAGCACCGGAAGCTAAGGAAGTGGTGGAGGTGGTGGTTGATCGCACACGATCAGTGTCCGTTCTGACAGCTTCCACGTGTTTTCCATACAACTCCTCAGTTCTTTGTTGCTAGTTTCCCACCATTCTCCAAATCTCACATACTCGTTTTATCCCCGAATCCAACCAGATGTGATGTTTCTTATTTCATTTGCAGAGGACTGGTCTTTAAGTTTGGCCGCACCGAAGACTTATGGCAGTGAGAACATCCGGTTTACTTCTGCGCGGCAGCCCTGCATGCGTTTTTTACTACTCACTCCCCGTGTTTTGTAACGCCATTTTCTAAACTCATTTTTGAGTGTGGTCTCAGCTTCGATTCGTGTATTACTAAAATCATGAAAACTTCCTGTGTAAACAACAAAAATCTATTGTGGTATGCATTGGATTTACTTATAAATGTTGAAAATACGCCACGTGAGTAATTTTTATTAAGTTTTATCATGGTATAACTTGTAAACATATATTACAGAAGAAATTATGGATGCATCTTAAATGAGCATTTGTCATATCCAAGGTCCCAAACTGCAATTCAAGTGCTCTGAAGATGTAATGTGTCTGTGTAAGTGTGGCCTCTTCTGTGTCAGATGTTAAATAAAATAGCGGCATTTTCATGTTTTTAAATCTATGCAGTGGTCAGAATTCTTTCTTGCTAACCTTTGTGTTTGGTTTCTACAGTTTTGCCAAAAATCCTGTGAACATTTCAGCGTAAGTAGCCATGGAGAGTCTCCCAAGGGGCGAGTGGTTGTGTCAGAAGAGAGACGCTCCTGATTTCAGCCACGAGGCTGCTCAGAAGTGGGGAGGTGGGGGTGAGGTGGCAGTCACGCAGCTATGACACATGGCCCTGGTGGGACGCAGTCACTCCACACCGACCACCGCAGGAAAGAGGAAAAGGATAGAGACTTGACACTAGACTTGGCTCAGGCGACAGGTTTTTGTTGTTGGTGTGACAGTCAGCTGGATTCCAGGTTTCACCACACCTGACCACTGGCCTCCAAACAGGCCAGCAAGTCAGTTATAATCACAGACACGGACTACTGAGAATTCTCGCCGTCCGTTTCTCTTTGGAACCCTATTATCTGTCAGGCTCCCCCCGAATCTTGGCAAAGTGGGCATCTTTTTTTTAAATAAATAACTACGGGATCCATGTTCTTCAGATCTACAGCTTGAAACGGTTTCTTTCATAAAACTTGCTACACTTAGCCCTCCATGAAACACAAAACCCCTCTCAGATGATTTAAATTTGTGGTACGCTTTTCCCCACCGGCCATGTGGCCTTCCAGCACACTGTCTGCCCTACTGCCCGGGCAGCCCCGTGCCCAGACCCGGCTGTGCCGCCGCCGTCCCACACCCGGTCACTCCCGGCGCGTCTTCAGACAAGTGGAGGCCATCTTACAGGTTGAAGGTCCACCTTCTCTTTTTACAGATGGAGGAACCAGAGGGCGGAAACTCTAATTTCTCAAGGTCCTACACAGAACTGGTTTTTAAATCTTGAGTCCGTGTACCTCAGTTGACCACAACATCTTCCCCGGTGCTCAGGGAGTAAGAACTACTTGCTCAAACTGCTGGAATAGAAACACAGCATCCGCATTATAGGCCTAAATATAAGTGAATTCTTAATCTTTCCCTGTTTTACATCATCTGCTCTGCTGATGTAGTCCAGAGCCCACTGGGTAGCACAATGCACTGTGTTGAGCAGGAGAAAGAATCTTAAGAATTGTCAGTAAAACTGAACGCAATACTGGGCTGCCTGGGTGGGTCAGTCAGTTGAGCATCTGACTCTTGATTCTGGCTTCGGTCATGACCTCATAGTTCATGAGATCAATCCCTGCGTCAGGCTCTATGCTGACAGTGCAGGGATTCTCTCTCTCCCTCCCTCTCTGCCCCTCCCCAGCTCTCACATGTGTACTCTCTCACTCTTTCAGACTAAACGAACATTAAAAAAAAATTAAACCAATGAAGTAAAGTTAAATGTGTATGTTTAAAACAAAAAATTGAACCGATAACCTTAATTATGTGTCTACACCCAAGAAAATACTGGTAGCATCATCTTTAGTGAAAACAAACATTTATTTTAGATTATTATGAAATTACCATTTAAACAGATGTTTCATCTTTTTTTAAATATCAAATTTATCTCTGACCTTGTCTCATTGTATATAAGGAGACTTTGCTAGAAAGATTGTGTCATTCACCAAAAAAGGGCGAGCAACGATGAAAGGAGGTTGTCTCGATTTCAGACAGGACTTCTTTTTCTCAGATGCTTTTGCTTAAAATCCAACAGCCAGATGAGGAAACTGTAAAAGCAAAGCAAACATCTTTATTACAGATGAGCCCTTAGACTTCTAAAATTTGGACACATACTGAGTCTGGTTTTTGGAAAGTTACACATGGACCAAAATGCTGTCTCATCACAAAGGCCTTAGAAGGCCAATCTGAATTGGAAGAGCTCTTAGGTCGACCTCAATTCTTACGGCTCTTTACACAAATCATGGATAAATAGTGATTGGATTTTGTTTGAATGACTCCTGTGATGCGGGACATACTACCCGGCAAAGCAAGTATTCCATTTTGCAGCCAAGTTCAAATTGTTAAGCACTGACGCAGCACTGTCCATTGGGCCTCCTTAAATTCTTTGGAGAAGCACAGGGAAAAATAGTTTTCTTTCTCTACATGGCAGTCTTTGAAGTATTTGAAGATTGTAAGGTCTCCTTTGCGTCTTCTATACGCTGAACATAACCCTAGGTTCATTGGCTGTGCCATGTCACACCTGCCATACCTCACTGCGCTTTGAGTAACCTGGATCACAGAATTCTAGAACCAGAAATCAGAGTAGCTAACGTTGACAGGGTGTTTTTTTATGGATCCGTGTGCTACCACTCACACACAGTATCTCCTTTCAATCCTTATCACAACCTGTGAGGTATTACTTTTGCTGTCTCCGTTTCAGAGATGGGGGCGCTGAAGCTCTCAGAGATCCCAGAACATGAGGGGGTAGAAGCCACATCTGTCTGACTCCAGACAGTGGAATTTGAGCCCATTTCACAAATGAAGAAACTGAGCCCCAGAGAAGGGAAGTGACTTGCCTGAAGGCACTGGCCAGCCAGTGGATGAGCTGGGCCTTGAATTCAGACCCATGTTCCAGAGCAATGCTCTTTTTCAGGGCCTCCTCCAAGAGAAGAGGAGTCAGCTGGCAGGCTCCTAATCTGTTTTCCTACTTTGCTCTAAAAACCGCCTCTTCTCGTTTTTGTTGAACAAGCGTTTGTTGGATCCTTACTGCGTGTTTAGAACATTTATTTTAAATCAGAAGCAGGGGTGATACCCGTGCGCGACAAGGCCAGGTTTTGAGAATTTTACATAAAACAGCAGGAGGAACTCTTAACACATTCTGAGGTATTTTCATGCTAAATCAGTGGTGGTGTTTATATTTCTTGGCAATGAAATCATGTTAAAAATAAACTGCAAATACTTGTTCAGAAGCCAGTGGATGATCCTCAGCCTATCTGCACTTGTTTCAGAATCTATCCTACAAGCTTAATCTTACTCTACTCGACTCTCAAACGGTATCTGTACCTTTTCCCCACTGAACCTTCTGGGAGCTTCCAGCAGCCTGAAGGGGAAGTCAAGCGGCTCCAGCCTACCTTTCATCCTTCTCTTCACCAACTCTGCTGAGCCAGATCTTTTCATGCTCCTCTGTTCTTGCTCATAAGCTCCCCCTTGCCTGGAATGTCTTTTACTTCCTGTCACTTAGCCAAACCCAACACAACTCCATTTTCCCTGACCTCCCCAGACTCAGGCTCTTTCCCTCCTCTCCTTCTTCCAGCAGCTCTGCCACAGTCACGTACTCAGTTCTGAACAGAGCCGTGCACATAGAAAGATCCAGTCCCTCCAATGGGTGAAAGCCCTAGTTTCTCTGAACCACCCCCTTCCCACAGCACCCAGAACAGCAGCTTGCCTGTGGCAGACTCACAACAAAGCTGTTTTCTGCAGAAAGGTTAACTGTGGGATTAATTTCAACAAGTGGATGTCAGTGAGTCTTTGTGCTTTGGAAAGCACAGAATAAAATCCATGGGTTATTAAACTGAAATAAAAAGTTGAAGGAAAGAGTCTATTCTCTTAGTGAAGGCACAAGCCACATGAAACATTGTGTCATGAACTGAATTTTTCTAAATCAGTATCTGAGTTAGGATCATTGTCATCAACAGGAAGACAGGGGATTAGTATATTCAGTTTCTTGACACTTAGAACTGTATTTCGTTTAGATTTGTCTCCCTGGCTCTTCACACAAGAGCTCTGTCATATATTAGGTAATGCCTTAAATGGAATTAATCAGTGAATAAATGATTAATTAGTAATAGAACCATCCGAGGATGAGATGGGGGACCTTTGGGGAATAGCGAATGCCCCATTCCCCAAACTGCCAGGTGTGATCTGGGCAACCAGAGGAGGAATGTCCCTTCCAACCCCCAGGAGTTTGGTTCCCTGAAGTGCATTAGGACATTCAATAATGTTTAAAATGTCCTTTTGGATGGTGTACAAAAAAAAAATCGCCCCTGGATCAGCTTTGGAAGTTTGAATTCTTGCCTCTTTAATGGATATTTGGCTTTTCAAATGAAAGCTGTGTTACACTGCTGAGTAAATGGCTCTACTCAGCTGGAAGAAAGTAAATCAGAATAGCAGGGCGAGAAGTGACTGTCCTCCACAACACCCCCTCCCGCACCCCCTGTCCCCTCCCCCCCGCATATCGGAGCTAGACACCAGTTCAAATCCTCCTTTTCCATTTACTTACTAGCTCTATCATTTTGGACAAGTTACTCCTCATCTTTGAGACAGGAATCCTTACTCTTGTGTGCGGTTATTGTGAGGATAAAAGTCAGATAATGTTGAAAAGCATCGAGCACAAAATCGGAAACTGGAGGCTCACAATAAATGAGAACTATTATGCTTACACATTCCTTTGTGGTTGGCTAACCCCCTCCATTTCACATCCACATGGTGCTTTGCATTTTGCAGCATGTAGTTAACAGACATTACTACCTCTCGTTTGGTCTTCCAAACAACCCAGTGAGGCAGAACAAAGATTCCCATTCTTACTTTACCAGTGAGAGAAGTTGAGGAACTTGCCGGGATGCCTTGCAGAACAGGTCTGCATTCATTGTCCCACCTCACCCGCTGCTACAGTGGCTAGTGTGGGGGATCGGGGGGGTTCCTTAAATTTCCTTCATTTATTCAGCAAATAGTTATTGCAACCCAAATAACTGAGCTGGACATTTGTCCTGTTTGTGGCATATCTGGTTAATTAGCAGAATGCTTGGCACACAGTAGTTGTTCAGTAAATACTTGCGCAATGAATGGATGGATTAAACCAGTGTTCTGAGAAACTCGCTAGATTCCTCTGCCACTGCCAAAGGGGGCAGGAGCACTTGCAGGGACTGGGAGGGACCGGCTGGAGGGAAAAGCTGGTACAAGATGAGACGCTTTACGAGCACCCACGTAATGGGGGACTCTGCGATTACACTGACTAAAAGACGCCAGGCAAAGAATGTTCTGTGCGATTCGTTTTTATAAAACTGGAGAAAACCTAAGCCAATCTACTGGACAGAAGGCAGTCCCGGGGTTGCCTGTGGA